AAAATATCTGAGGACTTCCTCTACCACTGATCACATCTGTATCAAATGAGTGAACTCAGAAGTTGAGAATGAACTCAGCTTTGTTGTTGCCATAATGAAAAATGAAAGCAACATTACAATGTACAGTGTGCAGATCATCATTATATTCTTTATTACAATATCGTTTGAGAATGGAATTCATTCTTGGCAACTGGCAAGATAATGTAAGCTTAAAAGGGGTGGTGATGGCATAGATAAGATGCTTGTCTTTGGTGTGGGAGACCTGGGTTCAGATCCCACTGTGAGACGTCCACCATTGTGTCCCTGAGCTTTGGATAAAAGCATCAGCTAAATGAATAATGTAAAAGTACACTCAATAGATTTTCATTTCTGTTTCATTGGACCTTTTGAGTTTAGATTACTTTGTGACTTATTAAATCTTTAATTTTATTGATATTCAGAAACCCGGATCCGGTGTTTATATGCTACAGTATCCTGGTTTCTATGGTAACACTCCACATTGCATATTCAGGTCTCTCAAAACCCGGATAAAAGCTTCTCCAGTGGCTTGTTTCATAAACCAAATGCATCTTAGTCTGGTTCTCTTTGGGTTACCTGGGGATCCAGTATAGCCGGTATAATGTAGCTGGTCATGATAGTAATCACAAGTCAATCACATGTGAGTGAGTGGAGTAGTCAGTATGACATTACATATAGAAAGTGTTAGAAAACTCAAAAACAATAGCTCCACTGCAGATTTCCCGTCATTTAAACCCCCTTTATAGAAACATAGCTTCCAGTATTCGTGACTCATTTTTCATTCTGATCCACGCCACCCACATTCCAGCAGTCTTTCCTGTGTATTTACTTCCCTCCAGAAACAGGACGCCATTGAAACACTGCAGATCAAAGACAATATGTTCTCCTTGTATGATGAATCTACAGGACACTCTGTGACACTGGTGCAGATAGAAACAGCATCGGCAGCTTACAGGCTGTAGTAACGCCATATGTGCTGACACACATAATATAGCAACTACAGGACCTTACAGACTGTACAAGGACACCATACAGGGCACAGTACACAGGAAATATACTCAACATATCAGGAGGTACATTTAAAAAGGAAGCCTTGCTCTAACTGTGAGATTTCTGCTAAAAACCTTCCTTAAAAAAGCCATATAGATATGGACAGAAAGGGTTTCAGAAGTTTGAAAGAAAAAAGTGGTTAATAAATTAAAGTACTGAACTATTTTGAGGTACTTCACTTCTGTTTATGCTACTTCACTACATTTCAGAGGGAAATAATGTGCTTTTTACTCCACTACTTTCACTTGACAGCTATAGTTAAGTAGTTACTTGCAGATTTTACATACAAAATGCAAAATTATCTTATAAAATATACTTTTATTGATTAACTGCTCAGTAATGTATAAGGTAGTTAAAAGTAGTTCCACCTTTATCAGCTACTACATTAAAACTAGAATGGGCATTTCCTTAAGAAACCGTTATCGGCAGTGCGGCTCAAGACTCAGTGATGTGCTGTTAACGAAAAGGGGGCCAAACTCACTGAGTTTGGCCCCCTTTTCGTTAACATGCTGTGAGCAGGGTTTTGTCCATCAATCTCTGGATCTGGAACAAGAGCAAGACCTCCACCACCGGACTACTCAGATACACTGTGAAGGGAAGGCTTTCAAGTTTCTTTGTCAATCATGTCTTATTCTGACAAAAAAATGCCTCCTAAGCACCAATAGAAGGCATGTTTTGCTTATAAACATTTCTGTGATGACTACTGCGCTGAAGAATAAACATACATGCTTTTATCCAAAGCAACTTAAAATTGCTATACATGTCAGAGTTCACACAAGGGGTTAAGTGTCTTTCTCAGGGACACAATGGTGGATGGGTCACAGTGGAGGATTGAACCCAGGCCTCTCACACCAAAGGCAGGCGTCTTACCCATTGCGCCATCACAGCTATTGAGTTATCAAGCTATTAAGTCTTTTACAGCACAATTCTTTGGCTGTTCATTTATTTTATTCTTCACCAGCGGAGTAGCCATCACAGAGCAAAACATGCCTTCTATAAACTCTTCTGAAAACTAAACGTCCACTGAGCAGGATTTTGACATTTTGAGGGAGAAAAGGCATGTGGCTACATTTTGGTGCCTTTTTTGTGCTTATAGAGGTAAATATACGTGACTAGCAGCAGTTTACAAAAACATTTCTGGTCTGCAAAATCCTCCTGTCTCCACTCTAACTGATCACATGACACACTGGTAAAGTATGCTAAAAGCTGTAAAACCCTTCATTTTGGAAGGGCATAGCTCCTAAGCTAAACCACTTTTTTAGCAAACACCAAATACAACTTTGAAAGATCAACATCTTTTCTGCAACTTACAGCTGAAATTGAGTCTCTAGCTGCACATATGCCGGAGCACTAAGCTCTTAAAGTTGGAAGAGTGGAGTCCCTGCTCCCATAGGAACCCATTCATTTTAAAATGCATAAAAATATTAATATGAAATCAACCATTACAGATATCAGCAACACAGGTAATAGCACCCATCTCATGAAGGAACCAAGTTTGTAGGACAAACAGTACAGGACTAGTTAGATGCCAAAGAACGGCGGAATAATAATAATAAAATAATAATAATGAGCGAAGAGAACAAAAGTGTGAGAGCTGCAGCTCTCACACTAATCAACACTCTGACAAGGCCATTCTGCACAACTTGCACTCTGCAGCTGCCGAACTGCACTGGTTTATTATTGTTGTAGTTCTGGCTCTCACCAGCAGGTGTCTCCCTAATACCGACATATATTAATTCATCACAGAATCTCATTTATTACACAGAAAATGAACAGGAAGATAATAAGATAAGGAAGATAGTAAAAGCATTTGTAGTGCTGAGAGGTGTTTTGTTTGTTTGGTTCAAGAATTGAAACAGAAGAAAGTGCTACCACTCAATTAAAATTATCCAGTCTCCACATCTGAATCAGATTATTATGTCTGTACATTGCACATATTCATTATACTTTATGTGAACATTTAAACATTCACAGTTTTATAATATATATATATATATACCAAAGCAAATTCTTTGTATGTGAAAATGTATTGGCAATAAACTAAAGAATATAAAAAAATAAAGGCTGATTAAAACTTCAAAATCCAAGAAGTATTAGAGCAAAATATATTGTTTGTTTTCTTTATTGATTTTAAACACAGAACACTACAATCCTAAAATCTATTTCCAATTGGAAATATCATTGGAAGAAAAGACAAAATATATATTGAACTTCAGCTGAATTCATCAAAGAAAATCAAAATATATCAAACACTTAAGGCCCAAATTCATCGTCCACTTCATGAATTAATTAAATAACCCTAGTCAACCCCTCATATTCTGTTATAGATAAATTCAAATTCGTCACTTAATGTTTTTGTTCACTGATTGTGTGCTTGTTGTGTCTCCTGTCAAATTGCTGATAGTCTCGAGAGCTGGAGGTCAGCGTCTTCTGGCGTGACCGGAGGGCGATGTGTGCTGTCAAGTTCCTTCGACTGGAGGAGATGATGGACAAGCTAGAACACAACGAGGAGTTAAGTCTGGAACCACAGGGGCTTCTCTATACCAAGGTACACAAAGAACGGCCTACAAATTCGCAAATGTATGTGAAATTTATTTGATCATTTCTGGGGTATTAAAAGTCTTCAAACCACATTGAAAATAATGAAAGGTAATTTGTTTGCTTTGATATATGGCTGGGCAATAAAACAATAATGATAATTGCAATTGCAATATAATTTTCCTCAATAACAATATAACAAATGTTCAATATGTCAGCAATAAATGTTTGATTCAATTAATTTGAATTATGAACGAATTAGCACTCAGTATTTCTGTTAAGACATTTATTTTGTTGAGGAAATGGGACTGAATAAAGATTTACTAATCATATTTGTTGAAAAATGATTTTATCAGAATCATTTTGAATGTTCTACCTCAGATTTGTGAAGCGATCCACTATTGGGCATCAAGTGTTTGTTCTGACCATGAAGAAAAGTTTAAAACCACAATTAATCTTCCGATGTCTTCATCTTTCACTCAGGAGCAAAAATCTGCCTTCAAACTTGAAAGAAATAATAATTTGACATTTATCGTTATCGATATCAAATGGTATGAAATGTTTTTATCGTGATAACATTTTTGGTCATATCGCCCAGCCCTTGACATTTACTTGACAGCTATAGTTAACTAGTTACTTTGCAGATATTACATACAAAACGCAAAATTATCTAATAAAATATATAGTTTTTGATATATAGTTTTTGATCTGCTCAGTAGTGTATAAAGGAGTTTCAAAAGGAGTTTCAAAGGATGTTTTGGAGTGGAGTTTTAAAAATGTTTTTAAATTTTTTGAAATCTTTATTTCTTGCATATTACACATTTTT